ACACACATTCACATTCACGCGAATTTCATCTCTCATCAGCGCGCAACATTTACAACTTACGTCGTCGTAGCCGGCAAATACCTCCACCCCCCTCCAACCCTTTCTCGCCCCCTCCCACCCTCGCCGATGCGTCTTGCGGACGCGTGGCGACGAGTGCGACGACGGCGGCGGGAGAAGCCGCGGTTGTCCACGGGTGGGTAGCGTCGCGACGCCCCGCGGGGTCACCCCAACCCGGAAGCTCCGCCCCTGTGGAAGTCGGGCCGCCAACCGGCGTATCCAGCGCACGGGATACGGTAGGAGGAGCCACCGTGTCGTCATCGTTGGCGCCAGGTAAACGGCGATCCTCTCAGGGCCCGGCCGTGGCACTCGGCCGCTTAGTATCGCGCCGACTCTCGAGTAAATATCTTCTTGTTCCTTTTTTTTCTCTCCTCTCTCGGAGTCCCTTTCTCTCCCTCTCGCCGTTCCCTGGATTGCGCTCGCTTTCGTCCACACCGCACCGTTGTGCCCGGATTCAGAACACGCACGAACTTATGTGGGTCTCGCGAGCGAAGCGTCGATCGTCCACGATCGATCATTCCTGAAGTGACGGTCGTTTTTCGGTTTCGATCGGCTTTACTTTGCCTCTGACGCTCGGAGGCGCGGGGAGGACGCAGATGGAGACGAAAACGGAGCCGCTGACGCCGCCGCAGACGCCACCGACGATTGACAGACCGATGCATCAGCATCAGCATCAACATCAGCATCAGCATCAGCATCAGCATCAGCATCAGCAGCAACATCAACATCAACATCAACATCAACATCAACATCAGCAGCAGCAGCAGCAGCAGCAGCATGTGGTTTTTTCAACCTCGAAATGGGCCAAGTCAAACTTCCTCAACGGCAGATACGTCCAGCCGCAACACGTTCAGGCGGCGCACAGCGTTCCTAACAACCATCAGGTCCTCAGTAATTGGTTGAAGGACCCTATCGCGGCCCTGTTCACATTTCGGGGTTGCTGCCCCCAACGCCCTTATCTGTACTATCAGGGTCATCCGGGTATGTTTCCGGTACCGCCACCGCCGCAGCCGCCGTCGTTCCTCGCTCGGAGACCAACGGGTCAGAGGCCCAAGAAACAGTTTATCTGCAAGTTTTGCAATCGACAGTTCACGAAGAGCTACAATCTGCTAATTCACGAAAGGACGCACACCGACGAGCGACCGTACTCGTGCGACATATGCGGAAAGGCTTTCCGCAGGCAGGATCATCTGAGGGATCATCGGTAAATATTTATAATTCACTTCCAAAATGCACGCTTAAATTCTGGTGGTCCGGCGATGATAATACATCACATCGACGGTATAAAATGACGTTTATAGTATAAAATAGAAGTTGTAAAATGATTTAAGAAGGCAAGATAATAAATCATGGAAAGAGGACCGCGCGATTTTAATATGATACACAAAACTAGGTTGTTTATTAAATTCTATTATAATAATGCTGTGATAGCGAACTTAGATAAATTTAAATTTAAATTTAACTGATTTGTCCACAACTGAAATTAAAAGTGAGTAAAATTATATCAGAATTGTAGTAGGAGATTTTAAGATAAGAATAAATTGAATTGAAATAACGTAACGTTAATGGGATCTGTCGTAATTCAAGTAATCCATTTAACGGATATACAATACGGATATACAATAAAGCGATAAATGCTATATATATCGTTCAAGAGAATTTTCAAAAATGTTCTATTTAGAGAACGTCCACGAAGGAACTTTCCTTGAACGTTCCCAGGTAATCTTCCGTGAAGATACGCCTATTCTTTAACTTTTTTCTCTTGCCCTTGATTCGTTAAATATATTACCCGCGAAGTCCTTGCAATCCTTTTTACGACCTTTAGAAAGTACTAAACATACAGAAGTAAAATATAAAACGAGCATTTTATGATGCTTTTTTATTCGTACGTAAATATTGGTAATTTCACGGGTCAATGATGTTGCGCAATTTTACTCTTTTTAAAATTTATATACATTTAATTTTTGGATAAAGAATATGTTGAACTGCAAGAAAAATCGCTAGCATACTGAAATTCTTAGGAAACAGGTTTTGCGTAGTTTAATAGTTTAATCTTTTTTAGAAATTGTTTAATATTTTTAGAAAATTTTCCTTAAAAAATTTTTGATATATTTGATATTGCTTATCTGCCAATTAATAATTCGGAAATATTTTTTTCATCCATTATTCCCTGAATGTCAGATTTATTGTGCTAATTCATTTATCCAGCATGGTATAATTCTCAATCTATTGTTATTACTGTCTGGCTATTATAGTAGACTGAATAATTTTTCATAACGAGTACGCACATCGCCCGCAGCCCATCTACCGATTAGCCATCACCCATGTATAATATCGGGATATTTTTTATAATTTAAGAACATTACACATGTAGATATTATAATATTACATTTCTATAGCAATATTATATATTGTTTGAAAATAATATTTCTATTTCGAACAAAGCTTTGAACATTTCTCAAGTATTTTTAAAATATATTTTCTGTAATTACACATACGAAAATAAAACAAAGTTTAGCATACGTATCAGCACATATGATATAAGCATAAATATAAGCATCAATAACTGAATTACTATGATTTCGGTGATATTCCACTAATTGTATAAAATTGTACAAAATTTCGTGAAAAAATTGAAAACAAGTTTCTTGCACCCACAGCAAAAATTCTTGTTCCGCTTATAAGCATTGCGCACAAAGATATCGATCATATATTTATTGATTATTGATGATATCATCCGTACGCCTGTGAAAACAGAAAATATCAATTTGCTTTTATCAACTATTGTTGATGGTAAATGCCATGTGCAATCACACATATCAAAGGTAGAAGAGAAAAATTGATTAATCGAAGAAGAAAGCAAGGGTTACCAAGCGTCATAAAAGAATCGAAAACTATTTACAAAATTATTTATCAGAAAAAAAAAACAAGACAGAAGGTTGCCAGCTCGAATCCGTAACCAGAGCTGACTAATTTTTTACATTTTAGATATATACACAGTAAGGAGAAACCGTTCAAATGCAACGAGTGCGGCAAAGGTTTCTGCCAAAGTAGGACTCTGGCGGTTCATAAAGTCATGCATATGGAGGAGTCGCCGCACAAGTGCACGATATGCGGTCGGAGCTTCAATCAGAGGAGCAATCTGAAGACGCACCTTCTGACGCACGCGGACGTTCCGCAGGACCTCAGGATCGAGACCTCGGTGTCGTCGGACTCGAGGATCATGTCCTCTACCGAGGTTAGACAAATGGCAGAGCGGGTGAGCGGTCTTCTGCCGATACCGAAGAGCAGTACGCACAAACTCGGCTTCACTATAGAGGACATTATGAGACGTTAGAGACCATAATTACTTCTAATTTTAATCTGCGTGCATTTCACCTTTGCGTTTGCTTTGTATCATAGTTTCTCATTCTCATTAAAGTCTACGAAGTAAGTTTTATTATATACTTTATTATTATTATTATTAATCATATATTTTAATTTGTGCGCTCTTCTAGCACCAGCTGGATTGGCGTCAAGAGTGCCGAGAAAAATCACTGGTAATATTTTTTTTTTATTTTTTTTATGTGAGTGTCACCAATTTAATAGTCGAGTGTATTTAGTTGCAATTTCGTTGAAATTTGCTTTTCTATTGATGTTCACTACCAACTTTTCCCTCTCTTCCTGTCGCTCGCAATCTTAACGAGCTGTTACTAAAGTATGTGCGACGTTCTGCCTCAGAAACGTATAAATCGTACCTTTTGAATGAATCAAATCATTGTTGAATTTTTTTTTCTTTTTAAATAACTACCATTTTTAATAATTAAAATTATATATTAATAATCTATTATTAATTATATTTTTTTCTATAAGAATTTCTATAATAACGCTACTTTATTTAAAGCTCGTCAATTGCAATCATATTGAATTTTGATTGACAATTGATTGCGCCAACAACTCGTTTACAATTATGTAGTGTATAAAATTATGATTATAGATCATTGCATTTAAAAGTTTTGTCGATAGATTGACACACACATCTTTTTCTCCCTCCTATTGAGAATGGTCTGATTGTTCTCAGTTTCTGACCTTATTTCAGTCGAACCGTTTGTCACATCATCTTATCTTCATTTATCTTACGACTGTTCTTGAGACAATGTATAGCAGACCTTTGTTTTATACGTGCACGGTACGAGCAGTATGGGAAAGAAAACATCAATATAAAAATTAATTTGAAAGTTGCAACTAATTCGGACCATTGTTTTATATATTTGCGAGATAATTTGCTAGTTCATATTTCAATATTGTAAGAAAGCAAAAAATCAGTTAAACCTCAGTTAATTTCAATTGAAGTTCCTGGATCTTTGTATTCAGCTTTGAAAAAACATAATAACTATCATGCTAGTTTCGATTTCTGTAGTACTTCATTTCTTCACGAGCATTCTTTCTTTTTTTCTTTGTGAACAAACTTAAGATACATACGCAAACCGCATTTGTTGATAGATCGGCATTCTCAAGACTCTGAAATTAATACAAAATGGACGGCACGCAACTACAGTACGACACTGTAGTTACAAGAGCAAAATTACAACTTTGAACTTTAAACAAACGTAAATTACAATGAAGTAACTAATTTTGACGTTAGTAATGACACAGAATTAGCAAGGATAGGTTCTTGCTAATTCTGTTTGAGGTTTTATGCAATAGCACAGTATGTTAAATAGAGACGTTGCAGACTGCTATCAAGTACAATTAACTTGATATAATTTGCGTTTGCTTTTAATAGTTGTCTGTTATGTCTAGTCAGAGTTAAAATTTTTTTGAAATTATCTTCCTCTCATATCTGTCTTATTTTCCTACAGAATAGATTACGTGAACAAGATTGTTTCAAGCGAACCGTTGTTGATGCGCGCATATTAATGTAAATTTTCTATTTTAACACGTGGAAAAGAGATTTTATTTTATTTTATTATGTGCACGCAGATTTTTGTGTATATTCTTCTCTTTGTAAATATCCTTTGCAAAATATTTATATTATGTCGAAAACATATATATCTAATTATTATTATATTTATATTATATTTTAAATATATAATTAGCATCATATTTATATTATATCATATAGATATAAAATTAATTATATTTATCTTACATATTTATATTAAATATTTATACTATTACGTTTAAGAGTAAGTCTTGTGAATATTCAGCGAATCTTTTGATTCTTATAAGAATTGCGTATAAGAATGCGTTTATATGCACATTGTCCCACGTCAATATCTTTGACGTCTTTTCGAAGGCGCGACAATATATCTGAAGCAAAAAATTGTCACGATGAGACATTTTGTCACAAAACAACGAAGGGATTTTAAATGTCTGTGACAAATGGGACAGCCTGTATATGTTTCTTGATATACATTATATTATTAGATACTATAAACTCATAGTTCACACGAAAACAGTATTCACTGCACGTCGAGTCGAACTTCGCGCATTTCAATTACTTTTTTCTCTGACATACGATGCTGCTGCTGATATACTTCACTTTCCCCATCAGGCATCGCGGTACTACACAGACTTCGCGCGTACGATCGTTGTCAGTCGAGAATATTCCCAATCTCCGACGTTTTCCAACATAATTTATTCGTCGTACATCACGAGGAATCTAAGCTTCGTTGCTTCAACGCGCGTGAGCGCTGTACAAAATCTCGATTAAGAGCCGTGGAACATGGCGGACGTTAAATAATTCGTTCGACGTGTTCATAAATCGAGATACTTATACAACGTAATTTACTTACAAAGTTTCGTAAATAATTCGAGTCATACGTCTTATCGTTTTGGACCACGACACGTCGTGCGTGTGGGATTAGGAACGAGGAACCCGCGATGAGAGACGATACAGATTTAATTACGCGTAAATCACAATTGTGCCGCGCGAGGAGAGTGTCCGTCCCGAAAAGTTTTACGTGTTTCACAAGAGAGCGTACGGTATCCAGGTTCCTAAAGTGCACTCACGATCCGGTCGCAAGGCGTCGAGATAATTAATTGTTCCTCGACGAGACAACGATCTGTGCCGGGAGGGTGCGACGTTACCGTGCCTGTCGTGTATATCGACGGTGTTAATCGGGTCTCTCCGGCCGACTAGATATCTCCGTTTCCCGTAAAATTAGAAATTTAGATCAGATAAGGGCGGGAGAAGGGAGTAGGAGGACATTTCCTGGCCAGTTAGCCGCGTCACCTTTCCCTTCGATGCCACCGGCGACTCAGGCACGACGGTCCCACAGATTTCTTTTTCTTTTAATCTGAGAAAAGATACTGCTGTATATGCTATCCGTAGACCACCCACGTCTTTCACGTACAAGGTGTATACAGAACTTTCGTAATTTTTGTATAGATTGTTTGACGAGTTTGGAATCAGTTTTTGAGGCGTTAGGAAAATTCGTTGGGAAGAATAATGACTTCTCAATATCTAATATCGACAATTGATTTTACAAAAATTGAGATTTTTTAACAATTTAACTGATGCTATATTTAAATATTTTTAATAAAGTTTTGAAATTAAAATATTTAATATTGAAAGTTAACATATATGATCAGTAATGATCCAGTTAAATAGTAACCAGTAATATCCAAGAATCTAGACGAGAAGATACTCGACACACCCTGTATGTTCGATTTCGACTTGATTCTTCCTTTCTAATTTTCATTTAACATGCGTGTTTCCAAGTTTCGGCTCGTACGTTGAGTTACCAACTAATTTAAGATCGTTGTAAATATTTATATTCGTGTAGATAGTCTGTCTGTAGGTGTGAACTGTCTTCTTCTATCGTGTAGTTTCGCCGTTCTTCGATCCGATGAAGTCGCTTGTGCCCTTATCGGCGCGCTGAATGTATATAAAGCGCATTTAAGCGACTTGGAATATTATCGGATTTGGCGCGGTTATCTGTTATTGTACGATCATACCAAATATAATGAGAGGAACAAGAGAATACCTCACGCTAGTCGATCGTAATGTATATTTAAATGTTGTTGTTATTCATTGAAAATAAAAATTATTCCAAATGAAATGGCTCATTTACGTAACGACGGTCCCATAGTTTTGAGAATCTTCGCCTTCGTCTTGTAACTCTAATCTAATCTAGTAATAATTTTTAAGCCTGTCATGTAATTTTACATACTTTTTTTTTAAGTTCTCGACTTGTGATAGAAATGTATATATTTCCATTGTAAATCGTACAAGTTTTAAACTTGCTTATGTAATTTTACAAACTTTTCGTAGTATATAATACACATATTTTCGCACGTTGGCCAGGTTAAAGAGCTGTGGAGTAATTCTGTGAGTATGACTCGTTCAGAGAGAGGGAGAAAGAGAGAGAGAGAGAGAGAGAGAGTGTTCGACGTGTCCGGGTTCAATTTAATCTCGCGAGAGTAAACAAGAAGTAGTTCCCTCAGCGATCCCTTTTCGACGCAAGTCGTTACGTGGATCCACACGGGGAACGAGGCTAACCATCATTTCCGACTTTCCCGACAATAGCCGGCAGTTAACGCGCTTGCCGGTCAGTTAGTACTGTTTAACTTTAATTAATTCCCGCGCCTTCTACGGACAATAAAGTGTGATGAAACGCCGTACAAACAAGACGTTGCGTTTCCCTTTGCTCCTTCATCATCGAGCTAATTCCGGACCTTGTCGTCACGACCTGTTTGTTCGTTTTCTGCTTATAGACGTGTCGATAACAAGCTTCTTGCACGTAATTTTAAATTAAATTAGCGAATCCAATATTGACAAATCCGATCCAATAAAACATATAACACGATAGCGATCGCCATTGTTGAGTCTGAACGATTTATATCGACTATAAACAAAGAGCCTATTATAACATTTATCATTTAACTTCCAGAAACTCTTATCTTGAATTTATAACAGTTCTTTTCCTCGATGCTCGCGATAACAATATTTATTTTATTTGAAATTAATCATGTATAAGTTCCAAATTCTCCAATTCCTTCTATCTGATGATGCCGGGGTAGCGCTTATTTCAATCTTGCAAAAAAATTATCAAACACATATGCGTTTCTAAATTTCGGCACCCTTACTAATTGTCTGTCTCTATATTATAATTTTAGGATCGAAAGTTTAATCGAGTCGACGTAAAGTGTGAAAAATAATCACGCGATCCCATAGTCGTCGATAAGATTGTTCGAGGATACAAAGAGAAGATACATTTCGGGAATAGGTAGCCAAAGAAACGTGGGAGAGAGAAGGTGGGATGAAAAAGGGATAGAATGATGAATGGAAATGAATTTCGTAGGAGAAGGAAGACGAATGGAGAGAAGGACCGTCCGACTGTGTACCCTTTACCGTTTCCCCTAGGGGGACGATTTAATTACAATAATCACAATGTTACGGTTCCTGGTATTCTGCCCAGAGCACAGCGACTTGTCCCACGGAAGAGGCTAATCGTTTACCTAAATCGAGGATACTATTTCGCACAACTCCCAGATGCTATATTTAATGGTATCGTGCGGGCGATCCTTTTTCCACTTTGCCTAATAAAAACAGGACGATGTTGCTCTGTTCAGATTTGCAACCCTTATACCTTATTAAAAAAAAAGTTTTTCATTTCAATTTCCCCTGAGAAGTCAAAATTTTTTACAAATTACAAATTATTCTCTGTAACGTATCACAATAATTTAATTATGTTTAGAATAATAATGTAATCTTACATTTTTATGTAAGGTTTTTTTTTTATATATTAATGTAATATTACACGAGATATCCCGTCAGCAGAGAAAACGCGTCATTAT